TCCGTCTCTCTCTGTCTCTGTCTGTCTGTCTCTTTCTGTCTCTGTCTGTCTGTCAGTCTGTCTGTCTGTCTGTCTGTCTGTCTGTCTCTCTCTCTCTCTCTCTCTCTCTCTCTCTCACACACACACACACACACACACACACACTCACTCACACAAACAGGGTATGTCTTGAATATGTCAACTTGTCTTAGTGGAGGTGTATTTGAGTACCTAGATTTGGTTTTTCGCATTGCTGGAGATGGAACCCCAGGCCTCTTGTATCCTAGGCAAGGGCTCCATCATGGAGCTCTGCCACCACTTTTTATTTTGAGACAATATATCACTATGTTGTCCAGGCTGGTCTTGAACTTGTGATACTCCTGTCTCAGCCTCTTGAGTACCTGGGATTATGGTTATATGTCACGTGCCTGGCTATAGTGCACGCGCGCGCGCACACACACACACACACGAGACACCCCCCCCCCCGTGCTCTTGTACACACATGCTGACCCCTGCTGGCAGGACCCTGAGCCTGTCTCTCCACTCCACCTCCCTCAAAACCCTCACTTTCCTCTTTGGCCCCATAATCTCCTTGATCAGAAAATTTGGGACACTACTGAGTTACATGACGTTACAGTACAAGTTCTCATATGTCCTGAGTCTTAATTGACCTTGGAAGGCTAGCGCCAAAATGTTGGCTTTCCTTGAGGCTCTCCTTTTTCTCTAATTTTGGTCTGCAAACTTAGGTTAACCCTCCGGAAGAGAAGATTATTGTTATAATCATACAACCTAGGCTGTTAAGCTTCACCTCACTATGTGTCTGAATATCAAACATCTCAGGCATAACATGGAACAGGTATTTTTCATCAAGTATTGGTATGTTGAACTTTAAGTCCCTACAGAATATGATGAAAAAACATTTAAAAATTAGAATATATTTTAAAAATAGGCACACAGAATTATATACTTCTTATGTTTACACATAAGTCCAGAAATCTCACCATATACAACCTTGAAGCAGGACAGTCCCACAATATTCCTTTTCCTATCTTTTGCTTTCATTCACCACCCCCTTCTTTTTGAACAATCATCTACCTGAGAGACAGCACGGCAGCAACTGGCACGTCATGACAAGCAGCCGGTATTCAGAAGACCAGAATGACAGGCACTCCAAGCATGAACCTACTATTACAGATTACCATCTTCAGTGCAGTTGCTTAGTTCACAGGTGTCTTGTATATATAGTTAGTCAGGGTGAGAATCTTTCCAATTAACTGCTAGATTCAAAAATGTTCTGAAGATTCTCAGGATCATTGCCTTACCCATCTTCTCCATATAACTGTATGGCTTGTCACTGTCATGTTTTCTCTGAGGCTTTCACAGAGAGCACATTGCCCAAACAATGGCCGTGACTCATCCACATGGCTGACACTGACAAAGGATCTACAATCTGAGGTACAGGATCTCAGGATAAATCCTGAGGGGATTTCACTAACCTTCTCAGACCCAAAAGCTACAACTCTTGTTGCATAGGTCCTGCTTTACCTTGGTCTTAAACATCCAGCAGAAAAGTATAAAAACGAAGTATAAGAAGTAAAGCCTGGTGTTATGTTGAGCTGTAGATGACTCAGGTCAGCAATTTCTGACATTGCCAGTGAAACAGAAGACCCAATACTATTATGGACTACTGGACTCTTTTAGAATATTTTGCTGAGTTAACACACCTATAATATTCAAATGATGGAACTAAACAAAAAAGGGGATACAGATGAATAGCCATTTTGCATCTGTGTATTCAAAGTGGTTAGGATAGATATATAGTTACATTCTCTTAATGAATAGAGGGATTTGTTCTAATAGTGTTTGTAAATAGGATATCATGTCTGCATCTTGCACAGCACATAACCACTAGGAAGAGAGTATGCAATGTGTTAACTATTGGAACTGTCCTATCAATTTGATTTGATATTGTCTCATTGCTATTTGTTTCTCAATAAAATTATGGGAAAAAAAAGAATTAAAAAAAACCCAAAAAACCCTCGTTTTCCTTCCGCTGCCACAAAAGGCTCAGAACACTCACAGGCACCCCTGGAAGGGTGAAATCACTCCACAACAGTATTAACCAGCATGCTGAGCTCGTCGAATGCTATACTGGAAGTGAAAACCAGAGCAAATGGCCCGATTTTGCCTATCCTTGTAGAAAGAAAAATCAGTTACTGAGTCGCAAGCAGGGTTGTCTGTAATTCTCCCTCTGTTCCAACTCTCAGACCCAGAGCTGGAAATTGAACTCACGACCTCGCGCTTGCCATGCAGGTACTGTGCCACCGAGCTATGCCCCGAGCTCCATTGCTTATCTTTTGAGGACCTTAATCTCTTCTGCGTCCAAGCCCCTCAGGGCTGCTAAAACTTCATCCTCCTCAAACAAGAGCCAAATTCCAGCAGTGTCTGCGGAGAGGCTGCTCCCCCTGCCGGGCGATCGGATCTGGAAGGAGCAGGACACAGCAGAGGTTCCTCACAGGGGAGCTCCACCCTAGACCCCGAGTGTGTCTCAAAATCTCAGAAGCCCCCGGGCTGCGCAGACCGCGTTCCCTCCGCACTCACACTCTGACGATCAAGCTCCGTTTATAAAGCAGGCACGACCCGAGGTAGGCTGACTGGTGGATGCCCCAGAACGGTGATCCCAAGAGGCCAACGAAAGCTGAGGGAATCTTTGACCTTATCTTAGGGTGTGTAATTGTTTGAGGCCTTTGTTGACGATGTCAGGTAAAGGAAACCATGGAAAGTGACACCTCGGATGTCCATGTGCGTGTGTGTGTGTGTGTGTGTGTGTGGCTGGCTTAAAATCAGGAGTCAGGGGCTGGTGAGATGGCTCAGTGGTCTAAAGCACCTACTTGGAACAAGCTTAGCAAAGCACAGGGACCATGGTTCCATCCCCCAGCACCACATGCCAGCCAGCCCCGCCCCCAGGTGGGCTGAGTTGCCCCCCACACACAAATAAATGTTAAAAAAAAAAAAAAAAAAAAAAAGATCAGGAGTCACTGCAGTGGCTGTTTGGGGTAGGGTGCCGAAAGTTCCCGAGGCGCACACGGGCGTGGGGCGGGTGGCGCAGGAAGGAAGTGTCTGAGTCGAGCACGCAGGAAAAGGGGAGGCTGGCAGTGTACTTTGGAGCTGCTAGTGCTGCCAGGAAGCCAAAGGTCTCGCGTGTGTGACTTGAGGATGACCTCACCAAGGGGCTAACAGGTGCCCAGGGAGGTCAACCACCCCAGCAACACAGGGGCTGGGGAGCTGCGATTCGAACCCACTCCCGTCCAGCACGACTATGCATCATTTGTAACAGCGAGACAGATCTGAGCACATGGCAGGACTCAGACATGGAAGACAACACAGGTGGAAGGAGAGAGGAGGAACATTGTAATTATAAGATGGTGTGTGTGTGTGTGTGTGTGTGTGTGTGTGTGTGTGTTTAACTGCATCTTCAATACACAAATCTACTCAAGGTTACAAAGCCGTTTTCCTTTCCAGGAGACTTACTAAAAAAATTCTAAGGGCCTCAAAGACACAACACAACACGCTTGTGAATTGGGGTCCACACTGTTTACCCGCCAGTTGTGCTCATGGGGACGGATCTCGCCCTAAGCACTTACACAGACAACAGAAATCTAACCCTCACACGCACCAGCGGCTTCATCCTAGCAGCCCAGCACTTGGCGAACCTGACAGACACTAGGGCTGTGCCTCCCACTGCCCATCTTAAGGCACCCTAAGACCACATAAGCCCTGCCTCTGAAAAGAAAGCTGGATGTGGTGGTGTACACCTGTCATCCTAGCACCCTGGGAGGCTGAGGCAGGAGGATTGCAAGTTCAAACCCACCCCTGGCAACTTAGGGACTTAGAGAAACCCCGTCTCAAAAAATAAATTAAAAAGGGTTGGGGATGGTGCTGAAACCCCGGTACCAAAACAAACAAGCCAACAAACCAAAGAACCTCAGGCCCAGATCCTAAGGTGCCTTGTCTCTAGGGCCACCCTCTATGTATTCCAAGTGTGACTCGTGGGTTCTGCATAATGAGCCCGGAAAGTCTTTTCTGTGACCTAAGTCACGGAATCCATAGCCCCCTGTGGGTGGGGTGAGCTGGTGGGATCAGGCAAGGACAACATGAGAGAACTCAGGCCAGACAGTCTGTGGGGCCCTCAAGCCTGTGTGGAAACATGGCCTCTCCAGGAAGCTGCTCTAGGAGGTCCCAGACACAGTGAAGGGGCTCAGGCTGGCAGACGGTGGGGACACCCCTTCCCTTGACCCTCTTCCGATGCCAAGATGCGGCCTGGACCCATCTGTCCACTGAAAGAGGCCTCCAGCCTGTTCCCAGGCCAGCTCCCCCATGCTCCATCCCCAACATCATCTCCAAAATGCCCCTGCTGGGATCCCAGGGGACCCCAAGGCCATCCAGCTCCTGTAAGGCAGATTGTGGGGGGAAGCAGCATGGAGGAAGTAGAGGCTGGGTGTGCCTGGCACAAACCACAGGCCTCCTCCCTCCTCCTCTTGCCCCACCCAGCAGCAAGGGTGGGGGAGCACCCCAAGGTGGCCCTGCCCAGAGGGTCCCCAAATAGGTGGCCAGCAGGCCAGAGGTGGGTTTCTTAGGGGACCTAGGTAGCCTAGGTCACTAGCCAAAGACTTCAAAGTGGGCATTTGTTTTGCAAGCTGGGTCCCTTAGCTGCACCCTTAGGGGACTGTTCAGGGGAGATGGGGTGGGGGAGGGAGTCCTAGAGTCCTCTGGAGATTTCCACGGGTGGCTCAGTACCCCACCCCCATCACATCTCATTCCCAGCCCCATGGCTGCAAAGGGCTCCACCCTCTGCTCTTCCCAGGGCTCCTTAGGGACCCTAGCACCCCAGGCTCATCTTCGTGGAGCAGATTCAGGCCAGATAGCCTCTTCTCCCTGCCCCAGAGTGCCTCAGTATCTGCTGTCCCTCTGGCTGCTTCTGTCCCATTGGCGCCCAACCCCACTCCGGGATGGGCACTCACCATGTGGCGCCTGGTCTGCAGTGGAGTTGGTGCCCAGCATGGCTGCAGGCTCCAGAGGACCCCATGATCCTCGGCCCGGGTTCCCTGGAGGCCCGAGGCAGCACCGGCTGCCACAGCCTGGTGTAACCACAGCGTGACCCAGCTCTACCCCCACTTCCTCTTCCTCAACCGCCTCCTCCAAGTTGGCTGTGAGTGGGCAGGTGCAGAGGTCTGAGGGGAGCGTGGGAGATGGGCACAAAGAACAGATCAGGGGTCCCAGTGCACCCCACAGGCCCGTGCGTGTCCGCATCCTCAGAAGGAGGAGTGGGGTGCTGAAGGGGAGGGGCAGCACCCCAACCCCACCCCAACAGCTTCCTGCGGAACCAACAGCCCGAGAGGGCCAGGGCAGGAGTACATAGAGTTGGTGTCTGAACACACATGCAGGGCCCAGGGGCTGGTCTCAGGGGTCTGCTGTGAAGGGGGTGCCAGCACCGGCACAGGGGCAAGCATGCCAGAGAGCAAGGGGCTTATGCTCACCATGCACAGGGCTGGGCACACAGAGCCCCTTGTGTGCACAGGGTCACACACAGGTGCTGAGGCCAGAGAGGACCAGAAGCCACAGACAGGTGCAGGACGTGCCACCTGTGCGAGGCCAAGGGTGGCCAGAGCATGTGCTTGCTTGCACAGGGCCACACTGCAGCGCAGCTGGTCAGAGATTATGGAGACCTGGGAGTGCAAATGCACACTCAAGCACACTCAGGTCACAAGGGTCCGTCCATCCATCCGTCCATCTGTCTGTCCATCCGTCCGTGATGAGGTGGATGAAGATGGCTTGTCCTGGCTCGTGGGAGGGGACCGTTTAATCTCCAGGAATTGTGCAAGGTGACTGTTAAGCGCACCACTGCTCAGTTCTTAATGATCTAGAGTTATGACTAAATAAGTCATATTGCAAGTACAACGTGATCTTCCTTTTGCACAAAATCCAAAATAGCTGAGCTCAGCCGAGGGAGCTGGTGTGCGCCTACAGTCCCAGGTACTCAGGAGGCTGAGGTCGGAGGATGGCAAGATCCAGCCAGGCGTGGACAACTTAGTGACTTAGTCTCTGTCGCAAAATAAAAAATAAGGCGGGCTGGGGATGCATCTCAGTTGAAGGGCCTGGGTTCCAGTCCCAGTACCACACACACGTTCAAATGGCAGGTTTCCATTGTAGGTGTTTGACCTCGACAACATGACCCTGCTTCTGAGGGGGCATATGTCTGCGGAATCCAGGCGGCAGAGACACGGGGTCAGCGGGCACTCCTGCTGTCCCGTGCCAGCTTCAGGTGCAACGCAGGCGCTCGCCGCACACGGGGCCTGCGCACGGACGCACACACGTGCACACACGTGTGCACACGCGCGGAGGACAGGCACACAGCCATGCCAGGCACCAGCGCCCCCCCCCCCCGCTCGGGCACAAGGGTCTGCGGGTCTGTGGAGATGGGCCGTTGCCTGGACACAGCGGAAAAGAGTCACACAAGAAGATAAACACAGGTGTGTATGGGCGGGCACCCCACACTTGCAGGGCACACCACACTTGCCACGCACACCCCCCCAAAGCTGTGGACACACACGCGGCCTCACGATCGATCACAGCCACACTGAGGCCCGAACACTTGGGGCACCGACAACACCCTAGACTGCGCTGGCGCCCACACCTGTCACGTGACTCCCTTGCTCCAAACCTTCCGTCCTGGAAGCCCCTCCCCTCGCTCGCTGACCCAGAACTCCAAAATGATTCCGGGGATGAGTGGGACCACGCATGGAGCCCGCGCACGCCCCAGACTCGAGCGCACGTGGACGCGCAGGACCTGCGCCCACGCCTTCTGCAGCCCCACCCCGACTGACTCCCTCCTGATGCTGCAGCGCATGCATGTCCATTGCCCACCACAAGCCGGGCCCCACGGGCGAGCAGGAAGCAGCCGAGGGGTGACTTCGGGTGGTGCGAAATCGCTGTGACAGGAAGTAGAGGCGTGAAGTGTCACCGGTGGGGTGGGGGCGGCGGGGGCTTGCAGCTGCTTCACAGGGAGGTCAGGGGAGCGCGCCGCGTGGCAGCAGGCCGAGGCCGGGCCGAGGTGTCCGGGAGCCGGGCCTGCCCGAGGGCACCCTGCACGCCTCTTGCCCGGGCTGGTCCCGGTGCCCCAGCATCTGCCCCACGGCCCCTCGCCTGATGTCCCCCCCGGTCCCCTTGAGGGCGCATCCAGACGCCCGCCCCTCGCCTGTGCGTCCTTCCCAGATCCCTCTGCCCGCCCCGCCTCTTCCTTGCTTGACAGATGGATGGGCCTACGGTGCCCACCTACTCCGGCACGCACCTGCCACTCCAGCTCTCTGGGAAGCCGAGGCAGGAGTCTCACCAAGCTCAAGTCCAGCTTTCTGGGCAACTTAGAGTAATTTAGGAAGACTGTCTCAGAGTTAAAAACACACAAACTGCAAAGCTCGCACCGAGAAGGGCCTGGGCCTCAAAGCAGGGGAAATTTGTCATCATCTTAGCCACATCTGGCGGCCCAGGGCAAGAGCCTTAGGCACACGCACATGGCCGTGAGGCCGCCCGCACCGCGCCCCTGCAGAACTTTCCCCTCTGGCGGAGCAGCGCCTCGGTCCCCAGTAAACAGGAACCCCCTCGGCCCGGCCCCGCCCTACTTCCTCTCTTGGGGCCAGGGGTCTCCAGGGAGCTCCTGGGAGCGAGCCGCGCGGCTTGCACGCATTGGCGCTTGGCTGCTTTCACTGAGCACTGTGTCTGCAAGGAGCGTCTGCACTGCAGCGGGTGGACTTTCCTTGCCTTTTTGTGCCCGAATAATATTCCCCAGCGAGGGCAGACCACGCTTCACGGACGCATTGATCTGTCCAGAGACCGCGGGGGTGTCTCTACTCTTTGCCTGCTGTGAAGGACGCTGCCAAGAACGTGGCGCGCAAGCGGCTGAGTCCCTGTTCAGCTTTCGCAGTTTCAAGCCAAAGCCTATGAACCCTTCCTGCTTTTGCAAGCGAAGTGTTATTTTCTCCCGGCTATAGATGCTATCAGCTGTGGAGCCACCAGGGGGCAGCACGTTCCCGCGGCTTCTCCCCAAAGCAGCCTAAACCCGCAGAGAAAATGGCGGGAAGCGGCGGGGTTCGAGACCCACCCTTTCTCGTCCCTCTTTTGACGGAGCTGTGGTCGACGAAATCTCTTGTGTTGGGGAAAACCGCGAGGATTTCCAGATGGGCTAAACCTAAAATATGTAAACCCTGTACAGATCTTAGAAGGAATTTGCAAGACTGCTTTTGCAATTTAAATTATGTACATATGTGGGATTTTTGACCCGTTTCATGGATTTATCTCTGATAATCTGAACAACTAATTTGAAGACAACAATCTGCAGTATAATAATACAATTGGACCACTGTTCGATTCCTATCATCTTGTTTTAGTGAAATTCTATATCGTTACTTAAAAAAAAAAAAAAAAAAAAAAAAAAAACAACTTTTTAAAAAATTAAGATGAGAAATCCAAAGGAGGCATGGTGGCACATGCCTGTCATCCCAACACTCGGGAGGCTGAGGCAGGTGGATCATTTCGAGTTCAGGACCAGCCTGGGCTACAGAGTGATCTGAAGGCCAGCCTGAGCTGCGTAGCCAGACTCTGTCTCAAAAAAGAAAGAAAGAAATCCAGAAGCCAAGAAGAAAAAACAAACATACGAGGCATGGTCAACAGCATGGTGAATGTTTAAATGAAAAAATTCTTCACAAAGACGCGTTGCTTTGCGTTCCCCTCCAGGTCCTCCCCTGGCTTCCAATGCACCTAGCCCACGCCCCTGGCCCCGTCTCCCGTGGCAGCTCTGGCATCCTCCTCCCTGAGCATCACAGTGCGAGTGGTCCCTGTGCACCTCCAACAGGTGGCAGCCCCGTGGGGGCAGGACCCCGAGTGCTCACCCACCCTCACCGCAGGAGACCGCGCTGTGGGCCCAGAGCTCCTCCCCACCGTCACGATGACCTGAAAAGCGAAGAGCTCGGAGTCCATTCGGGACACCATGGCAGCTGGGACCGCGCAGCCAAGACGTCTCGAAGAGCACTTCAGAAGGGCTGCAGACAGCGTGCGGGCTGTGGGAGCAGCGCGTGGAAGCGGGCAGGGCTTTAAAAGGGGTTCTTGGCAATGTGCCTTTCACTGTAATAACATTTAAAATCAATTTAAACACTCACTCTCCCTAGTGTAAGAACCTAAAAAGGGAAATAAAACCTGAGAGGTATCATAGAGTAAAACAGAAAAAAACAGAATGTAAGGATTAAAGTATGAAGGTGAGAGAAAGGAGAAAAGATAGGAAATGAGGAAGGGCAGAAAAAATACATACACATATATAGCCTGAAACGATTATACTCATTGTTTCCATCAGGTTTTTGAAAATAGCAATTGAGGTGTAGAATTTTTGTCTTGACTAACTCTGAATGCTGCTATCTGCGATCTAAGCAACTACGATGACAGCGGTGTGTAATAGAAAACTCATGCTGGGGCTGGGGAGATGGCTCAGTGGAATAAGTGTTTCCCTGGCAAGTACAAGGACCTGAGTTCAATCCCTGGTCAGAAAAAAAAAAAAAAAAGACAACCCGTGCTTGAATACCGGCCCTCTTGGTCTTCTAAATGTGTACTGTTTCTAATGTGTGATCAATTATTATGCTCTCTTTAAAGTAAATTTATTTATTTTTTACTTATTTATTTTTGTATTTTAGGGAAGGGTCTACAGGGTGTTCAGGGTCTCACCACTAGATCGGACTCTAGTAATCTGCCTGTTTACAGCCTCCCAAGAGCTGGGATTACAGGCGCCACCAGCACGCCCAGTCGCAATCGCCCGCTCGGCACGACGGGGATCCGACCCCCAGCCCCTGCACCTGCTTGCAGGTGCTATAACCAGCTGAGCTATGTGGCTGGCCCCTCAGTGCAGTTTTGAGTCGCATTTCACGTACACTCATATGTGAGAAATTTACACGCTCTTGTAATGTAACCCTTATAATAACACTGTGTATAGAGTAACTCAGGGAAACAGTCTTATGGGCTATCAGGGAAATAATACTACCAACAAAGCCAACAAGGACAGTTGGTTGTCAGAGAAAGGGGGTTCCCTTCCGAGAAAGGGGGTTACCTTCCACGAATCTACACGTGGATAACGAAAAGACTAATAGCGTGGATAGAAAACTTAGAAAGGGTGTCAACAAGCATTACACGAAAGATCATCTCTAAAAGCCAACGAATGTGTGAAAAG